CCTGGCAAAGCAACACATTGTACTTTGACAGCCATTGGAGTCCCTCTGTAGAATTCAATCCTGGCTCACCAACCTCCTCCTGCGAATTGCCTTCAAGACTCTACAGTTTAAGAAACTGTGAGTCAAAGGAAATGACCTTCCATTGCCAAAAAAGCCACGAACTTCACATGACATAACTCTGGCTTTGTGAACATCTGAGCATGCATAACAATCCGCTTGAGCTTTATGCGCAAGCTGGCGAATGACTCAGTCTCACCAACAGCAATGGTTCCCAGCTGCTTTCCACTGAGCATTTGACACGTGGCAAAGGCACTTCCCTGCTTGATCCAGCACTTCACAAATATCACAGGGCTAATCAATGGCTTGATCATCACACTAGGTGGTGCTCGCCTCTGCGGCAGCCGCATTCCTTTTTTATTGGTGGCCTCAATGATATAGTTCTTGTGATCTTGTAACCATATGGAGTACTTCGCAAACCTTCCCTTGCGTGTCCTGTACCGAAACCATGTGTCATTTGTCACTCCTTTGACAAGCCGCTCACAATTGCCCTCAGTGATTTCACGCCAGCCTTCAATATTTCCCCAATCAACCGCAGTCCAGGACTTGTTGGACTTCCACTTGCTGAATAGGTTCAGCTCCTTCACTTGAAACAAGCCCATGCTCTCCATGGTGCGCTGGTAGCGGTTGACAAAGGACCTCATGGTCTCGGTGGGGCTGCGATAGATGCGCCCGTAGGTCGCCAGCAGTTGGCGTTTCAAATGGACAGTCCGGGTCTCTACGGCCTTGTGGTCAACTGCTGCGTCCTCCAGCTCCTCTTCGAGCTCCCCCTTGAGGGAGTTGAACAGCAAAATGCCTGCTTCCCGGTTTGGGACATAGTTCACAACTTGCAGTGACCGCGTCTCCACCCGTTTCCGCCATTTGCGGAACGCAGACAAGTCGCTTTTGTCGTAGTGCCATGGTGGAGGCTGTGGAGGCTGACCTCCACGAAACTTCAGGCCTGCCATAGGCCCCTTCATGCTGTTCCACGAAGTTGATGAGCTTGCACCGGGACTTCCTGAAGGTGGATCTGAAGGTGGGCCTGCTCCTTGCGGCCGAGTGGCATTCGGTCATCCAAGCGGCAGATCGGGTTGTCGCGGTCCTGGAGGGTCTCCATGATCATCATCACCTGGCGGGTCTCCACCAGGGCTGCCAGGGCCGCCACGTCGTCGGCGTCTCCTCCTGCGTAAGGCCGTTGAAGAGTGACCTGAAGGTGAGGTCTCAGGTGCAGCCAAGTCGCTTGGGATCACACTTGGATCTGAGGCCCTTCCTTTTGAGAGCCGTCCCAAGGTCCGTCAGGACTGGCGTCAGGTGCTCGAGGTGGGTCTCCTCTCTGTTCAGGAGGTTGCCATCGAGGGGGCCGTGAGGTAGTGAGGAATCCAAACCATGTGCTACATGAGGGTGTACACGTTCGGGTCCATGGGATACTCTACAAGGTCCAAGGTGTGCACGAACAGGCTGCGGCATTGGTCCCCTCAGAATACCCCATGACATAGTCGGAGTGCTACCTGGTGCAAAGGTGGGATTGGGCTCAAAGTTCCAGGGTCCACTGGGAACGAAGCACCATCTGCCGTTCATACCAGCGGCCGGATCAGTGGCCATGGAAGGCTGCGGAGAAAGAAGGTTCGATCCGCAGCTACCACAGCGCCATAGCTTGCGCTCATCACTCCATTCATAGTCCCGGGAGCCGCATGCGCGGCAGATCCAGAGCTCGTCGGAGGCGAGGTCGACGAAGTCCGGCTCATGGGCTCCTGCTTGGCTTGAAGCAGGGCTTGAACAAAGCGAGGCATTCAAACTCGGCCGCCATGGAGCGCCAGCGGCGCTGGCATCCAGCAAGGGTTGGTCCTCAGCGGAACCAAAACCACGCGGTACCAACGGCATGGCGCGAGCACGAAAAGCTCCGCTGCCAACTAGGCGAAGCGTGAGCGGAAGGACGAAATGCCTTTTCACAACTGCTCGAGGCTAAAGGTGCACCTTGTCGGCGCGGTTCAGTGCGTCCAACTGCAAAGACCCCTCACGAACTGGTGGTGACATGCTGTTGCAAACTCTCATATATTATAGAGTATGTATGTTGTGTCAAAATCCCGCACATTCCCCTTTGAAGCAAGGATGCCTCAAAACTATCAGGCTAAAAGGAGAAAACAGGCTTGATCAAATGAAGGAACAATAAGACTGCAGCCCAGTAGTTGAACCTTGCTAATTTCTCTTCTCCATCGACTTCCGACAACTTTGGAAGGAATCTAGGAGGTGGCTCTATAAGAAGTGGCGGGAAACGTTTCAGGCGGCAAATGACGTTGAAATCGCACTCCTTCCTCGCTGGCTGGGGAACTTTTGAATCAAGAAGCTATCGACAAAGGTGCTACATTTGTCTATGCAACCTGCAATGCTAGTTACACTTGCTATTAAAAGGAATCATACAAAACTATACAAAACTACACTCAAAAATAGATCTTGAAGGGCAACCTTGCAGGTTTGAGTGGGGAGAAATTGCAAAAAAACCTTTCTCTCTTGCAATTGCATCTCCACACCGCCGAGCTTCCACACGGAAACACTGAAAACCTCCGCCATCCAGCTCAGGACTCCCACCACATTTGGAAGAGGACACATGGCCACATGGGCCATATGCATGGCCCATAGTAAAACAGTGGCACACTTCAAGGCCAAGACGCATCGGGAGATATACATCAGTTTCTGCTGGTGCCCCAAAAAGAAATCTATTCCTGGATGGAGCGCACACAAATGCCAGTGTAATACTGCTACGCTCAAATGGTGCGCTGATGCCTTCTGTGTGTAGCGATCTTGTTCCGGCAGCTACCCTATCCGTGCATATCCCGCTTGTTATTTCCAGGTCGTTTGTGCTCACAAAACATCCTCCGAACCTTGTGTGAACACAACGAATGCCCACCTGTAAAGGATGTATACATTGATATACATTATTCAAGCCAACGGTGCCAAATGCCTTACAATCGGATCCTTGAGAGCCAAGTGACCTGATTCTTGGAAAATGCTTCGGATGTCTTGGCTCCTGAGGCATTGGACGAGTCCGGTGGCAGCCGCAGGTGACTCAGGTGGGATGCACTGAGAGAAATGACGCATCAAGGACTGCGAGTCTCAATTCTCAACGTTATAAAGGTGATACTCTCACTATTTAAGCTCTGCCAGGACCGCAACTGGGCTTGAGAATTGAGGGTCGTCAACTCCTCTCAAAACTTCCAAGACTAAGGAGAAGAGAGAGAGAGAGAGAGAGCGAGAGAGTGACAGCGCAGCTGTCCTCGTTCGTGTAAAGAATTCAATGTGAAATTTAGAGATACATGCCCTTCACAATCCTGCGATTGAGTATGAGTATAGTCTTGCAGGACAGGAGAAAGTTTCAAGAGATCCTGCTGTCTTTGGTGGCATGTCTTAAAAACATGTTCTGCCTTCTCAGCGACTATTGTGGCTTCGGCATGAAAGTTTTGGGGTGCAAGTTGGAGGCTTACGACATATTAATCATTAATTATGCAACGTACACGTGGGATAGTATCGTCCTTTGGTCTGGGGAGCCACTAGGTCTTGCTCTCTCTCTCTCTCTCTTCTCTCTCTCTCTCTCGCTTCCTGAATGATTGATCTGAGTGAAACACGTGATCTTGCACAACAATATGAACATTTGCAGAATCTCGCTCAACCAAAGTGGTTTCGCCAAATAGTCCATGTGAAAGTCTAATTGAGAGAACTTCGAGCTTGTTTCACCTTACTTTCATCTGTCAACCAAATCTGACATTTGAACATTTCCATGAAGATCAAAAGTGCTTTCCAACTGATCCCCTCAAAATGTAGTTGCTTAGTAAAATGTCTTGGGGTCCAAGCTTCGCTCGAAGACCTCCCCAGTCCGTCTTGGGCAGCTCCCCGGTCGAAGGCGGCCTTCAGAAGTCAGGTGTCGCTACAGTCACATTGGACTCATCAGGATCTATCTAACTTTGCAAGGGTCTGGGGAAAACCAGTGGCTTCATAATGCACCTCAACTCAACTTAAGATTGCAAGGTCTGGGAATGTATGTGCCTCCGGTGCCGTTGTTTGTTTTGAGTCTCAAAGAGCCTACGTGAAAGCTCTCAAGCACCTCTGAGTTGGAATGTTTCTGATGAGAGATCCATGCAGAAGAGCTCTAGGGCATTGTTGGAATATCTTCAGCCTTCGAGGCATTTGCAGGTGGAACATTCTGGGTCAGGCCTAAATTGCACTCACTTCTTGGTCTGGTCTGCTGCCTTCCCGTCTTGACAGGTGGTATAGCAAAATTGATTTGCTCCATTCGGGTGTGTACGTGTCAACTAACTTATATAACTTAATTTATGTAACATAGAGCTCGAACAAAACTCCATCAACGGACATCCCAGACTTATATAAGCCCAAGTCTCCGCCGGAGAAATCGCGCCAATCATCCAACGGAGCCGGCATCTGAAGTCGTCTGAAGTCACGCGTCTGTCGCTCGTGAGCCAGCGAGCAGCGGATGTTGAGCGACCGGTGGAGATTCTAAGTGGATCGAGTGCAGCAGACACCAGTCATTCGTTTACAGATTACCAGCTGAACCGGATGCCGCCCCCTGCAAACTAGCATGGAACCTGAGAATTGAACTGTAATTTCGACCATTTTCCTCCACAACCGAGTGGTTTTGGGGTTCCATGTGGTCCCGATAGCAGGGGAGTCCCTACCAACATGCACCTTACTGGGGGTTTGTGGAAACATTCCTCAGTTTTCGGGATCAGAACCATCTCAGCAATTTCGCACAAAGCGGCATCGCCCGCTGTGGCCTTTTTCGGAGCCAATCACATTTCTGGAGCGAGGGTTCGGCTCGGTTTGTCGAGCGCTCTGCGCATTGAATTCCATTGCTGCAGTAAGGGTTCTTTCAATTTGACCTATCAAAATGGAGCGGGACTAGTTGTCTCAAGTAACTACATGAGCTCTAATGGGTTTCCACTTCCCACAATACACTACAATGGATCCCAGTCAAGATCCTCAATAGTAAAGCCAGCATCTCTGCAATCTTCGAATGAGAACCCAGCATCCACACACTCTTTCGCTGAAAAATCAGCCTCCTTGCACTCCTCGGCAGAGAAGCCTGCATCCTTGCAGTCTATGGCTGAAAAGCCTGCTTCTCTGCAGCTCTCTGCTGAAAAGCCGGCATTCTTGCAATCCAGGGCGGAAAAGCCAGCCATCTTGCACTCCTCTGCAGAAAAGGTTGCATGTTTGCACTGCTTGGCTGAGAAGCCAGCATCTCTGCACTGCTTGGCGGAAAAGCCTGCATCCTTGCAATCTAGAGCAGAAAAGCCTGCATCTTTGCACTGCTTCGCTGAAAAGCCTGCATCCTTGCAATCTATGACAGAGAACCCAGCAACTTTGCACTCTCTGGCAGAGAATCCTGCATCCTTGCAGTCTATGAGAGAAAAGCCAGCATCTTTGCACTGCTTTGCTGAAAAGCCCGAGTCATTGCAATCTCTAGCAGAAAAGCCTGCTTCTCGGCATTGCTTTGCCGAAAAGCCTGCATCCTTGCAATCTAGCACGGAAAAGCCAGCCGTCTTGCACTCATCGACAGAGAATGCAGCATCTTTGCACTGCGTGGCTGAGAAGCCAGCATCTCTGCACTGCTTGACGGAAAAGCCAGCCTGTTTGCAATCTAGGGCAGAAAAACTAGCATCTTTGCACTGCTTGGCAGAAAAACCTGCAGTCTTGCAATCTAGAGAAGAAAATCCAGCTGCCTTGCACTGCTGTGCAGAAAAGTGTGCATCTTTGCACTGCCTAGTTGTGAAGCCAGCATCCTTGCACTGCGTTGCTGAAAAGCCTGCATTCTTACAGTCCAATGCAAAAAAGCCAGCCGTCTTGCACTCCTCTGCAGAAAAGGCAGCATCTTTACACTGCTTGGCTGAAAAGCCAGCGTCTTTGCACTGCTTGGCAGAATAGCCTGCATCTTTGTAATCCATCGCGGAGAAGCCAGCATCATTGCACTGCCGTGTCGAAAAGCCTGCGTCCATGCAATCTTTCACGGTGCTGCCAGACCTTTTGTACGCTCCAGCGGAGAAACCAGCATCTTTGCAATGGTCTGCAGAAAAGCCAGAATCTCTGCAATCTTTCAAAGAGAAGCCAGCATCCGCGCAATCCTTGGCTGAAAAGCCGGCATCCTTGCAGTCTGTGGCAGAGAAGCCGGCAAGCTTGCATTCTTTTGCAGAGATTCCTGCATCCTTACACTCCTTTGCTGAGAATCCAGCCTCCTTGCACTCCTCGGCAGAGAAGCCGGAATCCTTACAATCTCTGGCTGAAAAGCCCGCTTCTTGGCATTGCTCGGCTGAAAAGCCAGCACCTTTGCAATCTATGACAGAGAAGCCAGCAAGCTTGCACTCTCTGGCAGAGAATCCTGCATCCTTACAGTCTTTAGCACAGAAACCGGCATCCTTGCACTGCTTGGCAGAATAACCCGAGTTCTTGTAATCCATCGCGGAGAAGCCAGCATCATTGCACTGCTCAGTCGAAAAGCCAGCATCCATGCAATCTTTCACAGTGCTACCAGACCTTTTGTATGCTCCGGCGGAGAACCCCCCCTCTTTGCATTGGTCTGCGGAAAAGCCAGCATCTCTGCAATCTTGCAAAGAAAAGCCAGCATCCGCACAATCCTTGGCTGAAAAGCCGGCATTTTTGCAGTCTGTGGCAGAGAAGCCTGCAACTTTGCACTCTTTCGCAGAGAAGTCCGCATCCTTACAATCCTTTGCTGAAAAGCTGGCATCGTTGCACTGGCTTGCTGAAAAGCCTGCATTTCGGCATGCTTTCGCAGTGAACCCGGCATCCTTGCATTCTTTGACAGAGAAGCCAGCATCTTTGCAATCTTCAACCGAGAATCCAGCGTGCTTGCAATCTTTGGCTGAGAAACCAGCTTCCTTGCACTTCTCGGCAGAAAAGCCTGAGACATGGAAATCTCCGCCAGCAAAGCCTGCTTCGCGGCATTGCTCTCCTGAAAAGCCAGCACCCTTGCAATCCATGACAGAGAAGCCGGCAACTCTGCATTCTTTGGCAGAGAATCCTGCATCCTTACAATCTTTTGCTGAGAATCCAGCCTGCTTGCACTCCTCGGCAGAGAAGCCCGAATCATTGCAGTCTCCTGCAGAAAAGCCTGCTTCTCGGCATTGCTCGGCTGAAAAGCCAGCACCCTTGCAATCTATGACAAAGAAGCCAGCAAGCTTGCATTCTCTAGCAGAGAATCCTGCATCCTTACAGTCTTTAACTGAGAAAGCAGCCTCCTTGCACTCCTCAGCAGAAAAACCAGAGTCATTGCAATCTCTAGCCGAAAAGCCTGCTTCTCGGCATTGCTTTGCCGAAAAGCCTGCATCCTTGCAATCTAGCACAGAAAAGCCCGCCATCTTGCACTCGTCTACGGAGAAGGTTGCATCTTTGCATTGCTTGGCTGAGAAGCCAGCATCTCGGCACTGTTTGGCAGAGAAGCCAGCCTCTTTGCAATCCAAACCAGAAAAGCCTGCATCTTTGCACTGCTTTGCCGAAAAGCCTGCATCCTTGCAGTCTGTGGAAGAAAAGCCAGCAACTTTACACTCACTAGAAGTGAATCCGGCATCTTTACAGTCTTTGGCAGAGGAGCCAGCATCTTTGCACTGCTTTGCTGAGAAGCCTGCATCCTTGCAATCTCTCACAGAAAAGCCGGCGCTCATGCACAATGCAGCTGCGAAACCAGCTTCGTTGCACTGATCCACTGAAAAACCAGCCTCTAGGCAATCTTGGAAGGAGAATCCTGCATCGGCACACTCCTTTGCCGAAAATCCGGCATCCTTACATTGATTTGCAGTGAAGCTCGCATCCTTCCAATCTCTAGCAGAGAAATCAGCCGCTTTGATCTCCTTGGTCGTGTAGCCAGCACCAAGGCAATCACTTACCAAGAAGCCTGCATCTTTACACTGTTTCGCAGAGAATCTTGCAATGAGCTTGCACTCAAGTGCCGTGAAACCCACCAATTTGCAATTGCCCGTCATATGTCCCAGATCAAAAAGCTCGTTGGCAGAGATGCCCGTCTCCACATAGCTGGCCACCAATCGACCCCTGATTCTCTCCCCGTCCTCCGAGGTGACCACCTGCGAAAGCCACTTCTCCCGCGAAAGGTGAAAGGCCTTGAAGCGCTCAGCATCTCCCAAATTCAGTTCGCTCAGCAAATGCCGCGACGCCTCGCTCAGCAAGACCTGTAGCTTCTGCCTGGTTTGCTCCACGCTCAACGCCGACGAGGCGGTGGGCTTCGTCGACGTGCTGGGCTGCAGGTCTCGCAGCAGGAGTTCCACGCTCTCATTGGATCGGACTAAAGCCACCAAGGCCTGCTGAAAGGCCGCCTTTCGCTGTGAAAGCAGGAGATGCTGACAGGAGGGAATCAAAAGACTTTTGACAATGCTGATGATGGCAGAATATCCGATGAGTCCCAAACCTGGCTGATCTGTTGCACTTTGAAAGAGAAGGACCAAAGCAATGATGGCTTCAGGCAAATCCTTCGACCAAGCTAAGAGCAATCGAGAACTGCTCAAGAAATCCACGCACAGATTTCCAACTTGCCTTGCAATCTTGTCCACTAGGCCCTCCGGGAAGGAGCTGGGAGGCTTCAAGGGAAGATACCGGATGGCCTTGAAGGTCTTGCAAAGATCCTTTGCAGAGTCTTCATGAAGCACAGCCAAAAAGTGACTATAGAGGATGGCATAAGCGGAGATTACCGCCAACAGCCTCCCATCAGCCAGAAACCAAAAGGCCGTGTCTGCGTAGGTGATGTGTAGCGAGCGGAGCCATTGCACGAGGCCAAGCACAAGAAGACTTGTTGGGAGAAGGAAAATTAAGACGGGACGTTCTCGGGCACCAGTACATGCAAATAGCCAACCAGCGATACATGCAAGCGCCCAAATAGGGATGCGTGTCACCAGAAATGTGGCATAGAGTGCCTGCAAAGGCTTGGACTGGAAAGCCCGATTCAAGAAAGGTGCTAAGCATACAAAGGACAAACACAAGATATCACGAGATATTGTTTGACATCCTGACTGCTTCCAAGTACGTTCCCTAGAGCTTAAGTCACATCATGACTGAGTAAAAGGCCATTCCCTTCTTCATTTGCCAAAGATTCATCATAGAGATTCTCCTCTGTTCAATTCTCCCAACCACCTTTTCACAGGAGCTGCGCGCCTGCAGGAGCATCGCCGGAGGGCTGATCCGCGTTCGCTCGGAGATCTTCACCGTGACGCGGTGCAACGCGCCGCCCACGGCCACGGCGCCGAGCGCCAAGGCGAAGGCCTCGAGGCCCAGGAGGCCGCAGCCCACGGTGAAGCCGATCAAGTTCCGCTGGGCCTCGGAGACGAAGCGAGAAACACCTGTGGATCTGTGACGACGGAGAGATACCTAAGGGAGAAAAGACCAAGTGTTGAAGTCATCTATCTATCTTTCTATTCTATTCTATTCTATCGATCCATCCATCCATCCATCCAGCCAGCCATCTACAAAAGGTTTTTCCCGAATGCGTAGCGAAGGGTTCTCGTTTATAGTTGGGGGTCTGGGGGTTGGAGCTATGTTTGCATGGCTTGCGTCGTCTCGTCGTCTGTCGTCGTTTGTCGTCGTTTGTCGTCGTCGTTGCGTCTCAAATTCGCTGCCATTGGGGGAAGTTTTTGCAAGTGACTTTGCATGGATGTGTCACGTGTCAGTTTGTGCCGCTATTCCATTGTGATTTGCACGACAATGACACGTCGCGCAAGAAACGTGATGCATTTCGCTGCACAGGCGCAGCGTTTTGTGAGATCCGCAGATTGCTGCGCAGTTCCATTGGGATTAGCGTTTGGAGAGTCGTGTTTTTGGGGTGTTGGATGTGGCCGTGCCATTGGGATTTGCATTTCAGGGTGTGGCATCGAAGCTCGGTTTTCGTGTCTCAGCTGAAATGGCGATTTTTGTGGATGGGAGTGTGCTCAGAACGGGTCGAAATCATTCCAAACGTGTGGTGTGGTGCAAATTTTGTTGAAGCTCACATGAGATGATATTGTCACTTTTCGTGGCAGGCGCAGGACTTTGTGCGGGTTTTGAGGCCTGGAAGTGCGATTCTCGTGGCAGGCGCAGGGAATCGTGAGGTTGCGAGGTGTGACGGAGGTGACATTTCGTGGCAGGCGCAGTACTTTGTGCGCGTTAGACGTGTGGACGTGGAAAGATTCGTGGCAGGCGCAGGGAATCGTGAGGTTTTGAGTTGTGGTAGAGGTGAATGTCGCTGTCACATTGGGATTGGCGTGTGAGCGGATGTTGTTTGGAGGGGCTGGAATCGCGAAACTGCTTGGCAGGGCTGCGTGATGTGTGTGCTCCGATGGGTGTTTCCGCTTGACTTTTGGAGGGAGTCTCGTACGAAACGCTCGTTTTGCAGACTTTGACGTGTGAGTTCTTGAGGAAGTCTCGTACGAAACGCTCGTTTTGGAGACTTGACGCGCAACCCTCTGCGGAGATCGTGCGTGTCGAGTGAGCGCAATGCAGGCGAGAGCGCGATTTGTCCGGCGCCGCAAGCTGAGAACTGGCGACCTTGTAGTACAACTTTAGTACGCGGAGCACCTGGGGAGCTAGAAGAATGTCCCACAAGAGTGTCCCACAGAGTGTCCCACAAGAGTGTCCTACAAGAGTGTGTCCCACAAGAGTGTCCTATGTCCTACAAGAGTGTCCTACAAGAGTGTCCCACAAGAGTGTCCTACAAGAGTGTCCCACAAGAGTGTCCCACAAGAGTTTCCGACAAGAGTGACCCACAAGAGTGTCCTACAAGAGTGTCCCACAAGAGTGTCCTACAGGAGTGTCCCACAAGAGTGTCCCACAAGAGTGTCTTACCTGTGCATACGAAACGTGTGTCTCGGCCCCCGGTGATGCGGGGGCAGGCCACGCGAAAACGCGAAAACCGCGAAAACGGGAAAACGGCGGAAACAAAGTGCCTGGATTTGACACAGCTCATGGTTTTCTCGAACACCGCATCGGCGCGAAAACGGCGAAAACGGCGAAAACGCGAAAACGGGAAAACGACGAAAACCGTTTTCTAGGTTTTCTCGTTTTGCCGGTTTTCTTGGTTGCGGTTTTCACGCTCAAAGGCAAGAGAAGCAAGAAGACGGCGAAACTTAGGGATCACCTTCCTCGATCCTTCCTCCCATGACGCTGCCCCGATCTTCTTTTGCGCGAACTCCAACGAGCTCTCTATTGGAGTGGATGCACCGTGCGCCTTTGGGGGAGCCTACACCCCAATCAGGACTGCTCAAAACGGTTCGCAGGACACTAGACGCATCAGTCCTCACTGCAAGACGATGGCCACATGACCACCCTCCACAAAGCGATTGGCCAGCGGTTCGGAGCGACTGGCGTCCACCACCACGACAAAGATGGGGTTGCCTTGAAGGTCCCAAATAGATGGAACACTGAGGCATTCTCCAGATCGCTGGCTCTTCTCCCCAACAAGACAAGATCTCTTTTTCCCACCAAAAAAATTTGGGTCTTTGTCGACGTATCGGTGGAAGTGGAAGGCCCATGAAGGCCCTGAATCGGCCCTTTTCGGCTAAACACTCATGTAAACTATGTATATAGATACATGTGTATATATATATATATTTGTATGTGTATATAGTGTACATAAGCTAGGCACTGACAACTACAATAGTGTTCTGATCTTGTTTCCTTTCCCACATTGACCACCTACAGGATCTACAGCGCAACTTTGAATCTACAACACTCCATAAATGTATATCTTTTCTTGTTCTAAACCAGGCGCATCTTGCTTTGCTTGGGTCTGGCCGACAGCTGTCGACCAAAAATATGGCATCCCTTGTTTTGGCTTATGTCCATGGAGCCCATGGCATGGCAAAATCGTGCAGGATCGGAAGACACAAGATTGAAACAAGTGCGCTCTTTAGGGCGGCCTTGAAATCGGTCCACCTTTGTTGCGCCAGGCGGCTCAACGTGTGTTCGAGCAGTAGCTGCGCGGGGCCCGATAGGACACAATGCGCCGCCAGAACCCGGACGTGAATTCGGGCCTCGCTCGGTCCTGACGATCGGGTTTGTTATGGTAAGTAAGCATGGAAGGTCTGTGCCTTATACTCTTTGCATCTTTTCTTCGCAGCCGCCCTTCACCACCAGGCTAGAATCTTGGCTTGTTAACATCCAACTACCCTGTTTCAGCGTGAGCATCTAGCTATATATTTAGCCGAGGTCAAGAAGAAAACTGGAGATGTCTTAATGACTTGCAAGGCATACAATGGGAGATGTGTGCTGGAGAACTTAGCCTTGGAGCTCGGGCATGCCTTGGCTGGGGCGGCTTATCCCAACCATCAACGATTGATCTTAGCTGCTGTTTGCATGTGCCCAGGCCAGTCTATTGAAACAAAATACAAAGTGTTCACGGGTAATTCTTGAACTGTCAGGAAGGCAAGCCCCACTGAACTAACTTAGAGTCCATCGCAAGCCCTTGGTTTCCAATCTGTCCTTGCGTCACAAGAGCTCGTCGATTCCGCGCAAGGAGAGCCATGAGGCATGCCACGGCTCTTCAGTTTGATGGAGAGGAATGGACGTCGTCTGATTCTTGTTTTTCTTTCATCCCTGGGTTCCCTCTGGATAGACTTGGTCACGTTATCTGGTCGTTCATGCGTAGTGCCTGTGATGAGGTGATATTCCATTTTGGATTGGAGATTAAGATCATTCTGATTCACTGAACTATTTACTAAGATTCGTGAATTGAACTTAAACTTCAACCGTTGAGATTTAGTGCACAACTAAGGAGCATAATTGAAAACCCTCGAAAGTGGCGAAGACTAAGAAAACAACTACTGCGCCGCGAAGCCGACACAAACGGCGAAAACTACGAAAATGGCGAAAACGACAAAAATACGCAAACGGGCGAAAACGGCGAAAGCGGCGAAAACGCGAAAACGGCGAAAACGGGAAAACGGCGAGAACGATGAAAACCGTTGTCTTGGTTTTCTCGTTTTGCCGGTTTTCTTGGTTGCGGTTTTCACGCTCAAAGGCAAGACAAGCAAGAAGACGTAAGCAAACTGGAAAAAGCTTCCACACAGGAAAACGCGAAAACGGTTTTCTCGGTTTTCTGGTTTTCTCGGTTTTGTCGTCGCATCGCGCGGGCCACAACGCAGGTTTTGTGTTCTTAGCCTACAAGAGTGTCCCACAAGAGTGTCCTATAAGAGTGTCCCACAAGAGTGTCCCACAAGAGTTTCCGACAAGAGTGACCCACAAGAGTGTCCTACAAGAGTGTCCCACAAGAGTGTCCTACAAGAGTGTCCCACAAGAGTGTCCCACAAGAGTGTCCTATAAGAGTGTCCCACAAGAGTGTCCCACAAGAGTTTCCGACAAGAGTGTCCCACAAGAGTGTCCTACAAGAGTGTCCCACAAGAGTGTCCTACAAGAGTGTCCTTTCAGAGTGTCCTACAAGAGTGTCATTTGGACATATGTAGTTTTTCCAACGTGTTTGCATTCGGGTTCGTGGGTTCCATCTTGTTTCATTGAGATGGATGTTGTTGATATGTCATAGTCACAAGGCACAGGTTCACCTCAGTTCCACTCTTGATACGATTCCAGCGGCGTTCGCCCTTGACTTGCTGGAGTGTTCATACGAGGAGCGAGTACTTCTCACAGCACTCTGTCAAAAGGAACAGTCACGTGAAAGTCTGTGCCAGAACCAGAACCCTCGCAAGCGGAATTCTGCCCAACATGTTCGCCTAAAAATGAAAGAAAACCACTTCTGCCTAGTTACATATGAGGAGGGAGCGCAACTCTGAAACACCAACCTGACCTGCCAATAAAGGTCCAAGCGACATGGCAAATGCAAATGCCTGTGACCACCCAATCCTTCATGCTATCGGCCACCTCGCTCAAAAAGGGTGTCGTGTAGAAGAGCACCGACGTGACGGTGGAGGCATGCAGGGCAGTTTCATCCTCGTTCGGAGCATCGGGGAGGCCAATCGAAAGGTCCAAGGTTGGAGGCCATCGCTCTTGGGTGATGTCCACTGATGTGTTGGGAAACAGTAAGAGATCGAAGGGATTCCGGTTTCCAGTTTGCATAGGGGTGAGTTTGGTCGAAGAGCCAGCCTGATTTTCTCAATATGGCCTATGTCGGATGCCCATGGCCTATGAGGCACTCACGGGAAGGGCGCGAGCGCGTACTGGTCGTAGACTACTTCTTTAGCATCTATAGTGAACTAGGGTGCCGTGGCAGAGAAATATTCACATTGGCTTTCACGCTGGGTCTGGATCCAAGAAGCCGGCACAATACCAATCCTGAACCATCTGTTAGATCCGACAAAACAAACACCTTTCTTCAAACTTGCATCGCTGCCAAGTCACCTGCATCACACATCGCGCCAAGTTCTGCAGAAACAAGTTCCAAAGGCAAATCTGCTGCCAAATCACCCAAAGCTCCCACGCCACGCCGCCCCCGAAGGCACCGGAGATCCACCCGTTCAGCAAACCCACGGCCACCAGGCCAGCACACATGGCCTGGGAGCTGCAACAAAGGTGGAGATCGGTGGTGCATGCTGGTGGTAAGGGTGCTGTGGGGTGCACAAGGCTCAAAGAGCTCACCTATAGGTCATATACAGTATATATATATAATATATATATATATATATCCTCTCCGTTTCCAATCGGTGTCCCATTTTTGTTGGCAGGATGTTCATGGATGTTCGTGTCTAGGATCCTCTTTTTGTTCATCTGGGGCCCTGTAGTGGGCCCTGTTCACATTGGCCTACGTAAGTGTTCATAAGTGTTCGGGAAACATTTAAGCACAGCATTGCACAACTATTCTAAACTATGACCAACTAATTCGGGGCAGTTGTTCGCAAAGGAATTGCAGACCCATCCTTACAGATCTGACCAAATCAACAACTTGTCAAATGAAATCATGCTCTGCTTCCTTGACAAATGGTCCAACCACCTTCTTACGAGCTTCACTTCCACTGCCAAGCAGCATGATAGATCCACAGCATGCAACAGCAGCCGGATGGATGATCGGGCTCAGGAGGCGTCTCCACTGTTTCGGTGAAGGGTTTCTCTAAGTCAGGCATCGACTCCTCCATTTGAAGCGACCTCGGCGCTCGGTTCTCGAGCGAGTCCTCACAAATGGATCCTCTGCGGGGGGATTCCTTCTCCGAGCGCCACAAGCATTATCATAAAAAAAGACTAATAAAATAAGGCTTTTTGCTAGTCAATGCATCTAGTAGGTAGAAGCTATTAGGTTGGAGGCCGTCGCTATTAGGTTGGAGCCCATTACGACTAGTAAAAAGTATCGGACTTTTTCCATGCCGATATTCTTGGGGGCACTCTCACAGTCTCGCAGATCCAATGCAGTTGAAGGGACCTGTAGGTGCCTGACGCAATGGATGCAGTTGATGACTTGCCACCCGGCGATATTCGCCGCTTGGCACAGGCAAAGCACCAACGCATCGCTTCGCAAAGGAAGGCCATCAGCAAAGGTGAGAGCCTCATGTGGCATGCCCAGAGATCTGTGTTGCACCCCATGGTCGCCCGAAAAAAGAACAACATCAACACAAAAAAACAAAACAATTCCATGACAAAAGCCGATAACGCCGAGAACATCCGGGTGACACGGTGGCGTGTCTTGATCCGCTAGGCCTTTGCTCCATTTCGGCTAGAAATCATGATTGATAGACCTTCCTCCGGATTGTTGTTTTGAGTGCGACCACTGCCGTACTCTTCAAACAAAATCGGCCAAGGTCACCCAAGGGCAGATGTAGCTGTTCATTTATCCAAGTCACAGCTCCAAGAAGGGGAACCTAAAAGAAGTTCACATTAGTCAGGTGGCAGCAAACAAGAACAGAAACAGGAAAGCATCGGTTGAATCCATTGGATCAACAAGCGGCAAAATCACTGCCCCCCAGTAGTGCATCCGTTCCCATGCTTCCTCCTCGCCAATCTCCGTGAGCTGAGGGAGGACTCGCAGTGGAGGCTGCACCCAGAAGGGCGGAGGCTGCTTCAGTTGGCAGGTCTTCTTTGCTTTACACTCTTTCCTGACGTACGCTCAGCTAGAGGTGACTGCGAGTCTCGCGTCTGGCAAGGGAATTAGGGGAGACCCACCGCACGGCCCAAAGCAAACAAAGGGGTCAAGTGGGTTGACTCTTGGGCAAACACAGAAAAAAAAACACCCTTGAAACTGAAAGTCCCTAATTACAGGTCCCTACACCGAAAGGGTCTTTCTTGCTCGACTCCTCCAAGCTTCCACATCTTCACACTGAACACCGCAGTGAACCAACCGAAAGCTCCCACCACATTGGGCACAGGAGGCAATGCAATCGTCATGGCCGGTGAAACATTGTCGCCCAGCCACCCAAATTCCTGTACAGCGATCTCCAGCGAAGAAGCGAGAGGGGTCCAACTTGGTGTCGTGAAGTTCAGAAACCTTGAACAATTGCCTAACATGACAAGGATTTGATGCTCCAACTCTTACCAAATCCGACAGGTCACACACACACACATGCACATCCATCCAACTTCAATTCGACAGTTTTACCTACCTGCAACGCTGTTTTTTTTTTTTTTCATCTTTTTTCCAAACATAGATCGGCCGCGCTTGCGAGGCGCTTTGCATGTTCAACGAAGGCTCCTGCAGGAGTGACAAGCTGGATACAAGTGACAGCCAGTGGAAGAGCAGGAAGCAAAACGACACCAAAGTGTCCACTTGGTCTACATCTTAGTCTGACTAATTAGACGATTAGATGAACACAGGAGAACGAGATCAACCAACTCTGCTTCCCAACTCAATTCCTTCCTTGTTGGGCTAATTATCTGGGAATGGACGATGTGGATCGCTGGGATCTTGGGAGTCCTGAAGAAGCCCCAGATCACTCACGATCTCTTGGACATCCGTTTCCAAGTCCTCAGAGTTTTCAACTTCGAGACGTCGCGGTCGCGGTCCTTTGGAGTCATGAATTGTGTGACACGGGAAGTGCAGAAAGCAAGTCTTGGGATTTGCCAGAAGTGTTCAGCTGCCTCAAGCATACAAAGAAACAACACATCCAAAGGTCAAATTTGGCAAGTGTGTGATGAATAAACGTTTTGGAGTGTCGAATCCTAACTTCGGTAGCTTATGTTTTGTGTTGCTTTGTGTCAAGTTCCTCTCATTCGGTGACACCATCCGCGGTTTGCTTCGCCCACCGTTGCCCAGCGTCCAAGCCAGCACGCCGGTGTGTGCGCCGGGTGGTGACTGAGAGCAGTAGGTGGCCTGGCAGCCGGACAGGCAGGAATGTTCAGACTTCAGACTATAAGTGCAATCACAAAAAACAAATTGACAACTACAACTCTAAATCAAAAGATCGTGATGAGTTGTAGCAGTGCTATGCGGTGATGCTTCGGACGACCCACACCAGCATAGAAGGATCTATTGACCTACCACAAAAACATCCTCAAAACGTTCCTTTTTGCCCAAAAGGACGTGCCACTCCACCAGATCGCCACGTCACCGTGCTCACGCGCCTCCCGGCCGTAGAGACTCAACCATCCGCGCCAGCAACGGCCGGAGGAAGCCGCGGCGCCAGGCCTTTCTCGGTTCTGTTTGCTTTCTCGAAAAGTGACGGCCCATGTCATAACACCTGCCATCACCTGTCTGTCACTGAAGTGAAACCAAGGGTTTTCTCCAATCGTAATATGAGCACGTGGCGCGGAATAAAAAGAACAACGTGTGAAAACAATTAACTATACAGACGTGGTATTGCTCGTGGTATTGCTTGGGGGGCGCGAATGTTTAATGGATCATATCAACCCCCATAAGTCTCGGGGTAACTCAACAAGCGACTTATGAAACATCACAATCATCTTTGTGCCACAAAATGAAATCCATTGAAATACCTTGAGTGTCCAAATCCAAGCTTTCGAACCTACCCGCCTCCACGTCCGGGAACCTCACATGGCTCTGGCTCTTCTCACTGCTGTAGGCTTCCTTTGTTGCTTGGCGCAGAGAACGGTGGCCAACAAATTGGGACACAGCAGTGAACTACATCACTGCACACAGCTAAGCATACCTAATCTGGTCAAAAGGCACAACCACACCACTGACTCCACAGGTGCAAGGAAGTGTTGAGTTCGATTTGAGCCCCCATTTTATGAAAGTGCATACAGGAGGTTGGGGCTCCTGACAAAACTCGACTTGCCACAGAACAAAACATGCACACGACCACAGGTAGGCTTGGGTACACGAGGACTTCCTTGACCAGTTTCTCTCTAGCTTGCATACTGCACGGGCAAGCTCTTGGGATTGCGTACAAATAAATCATTTCAGAGCATGATGAATCTCCAAAGTCTTTCAACAACAAATAACACTCAGAGACTAAAGGATTCTAAAGGCCTCACGCTTGAACTAAAGTCCTTGAGCAATGTGGGCAACCAAGTGCTTGAAAGGATATGGATCTAGGCTGGGAGGTTGCTTGATGTTGCTTAATGATCATGAAGCAGCACATCTGCTGCTTTTAGTCCGTCCAGCGTCGGTATTGAAGTAGGGAGGCGAGGTGAAGGCCAAGTCTACTTGCTCCGGCACTTCAAAGTCCTTGAGCACTGTCTAAAACGTTGAGGATGGAGGGGGTAAAGGGAGGACGCCCTGCCAGGAAGGGAGACACTCGAGAATCTGCCTAAATTTGGGCAAGTGAATCTCCGATGAAGGAAACTGTGGTAATTTGAAATCAAGTGGCTTCCAAAGAATGTCTAAGATCTGAGTGAGGCAGCCCGTGTTTCTACACAACCTGGTTTGCCCATTGGCCACATCCTTCACCTTTAACACACATCAAATCGATTACATATGATCCAAGATCCAACAGTCTGTCAAAAGCTTCTCTACATGATACTTATACGATCCTTCCACAAACCCGGCTGGACTGGAGCTCCTCCGCCCCGCACTGGTTGAGCTCCACCTCCATGTTGGGCAGAAACTCGGCGAAGTCCTCATCGACCAACTCTGGCAACATTGGGATCGTGCGGAGCCCGCACGTGCAACCATCACCACACATGGCTTGCCAAGTAAAACAAACCTGTTTATGAATAGGACAAACAATTAGGGCCATGCATTAATGGGGCATTCATGGGAGTTGTTTTCAAGCATGCTACACTATGTTTAACCGAAATCCATGGTCTTAGGACTTTAGGCCTATCAACGTAAGGTGGCCCACGGATGGCGGCGCTGTCGTTTCAGCGGGACAGAAGCAGGTCTATTGGCTCATGAAAGGTGGATGGAAACCATATCCGGGAGTATAGTGGATCCCTAGATGTCTCATTTCACTTCTGGCTAAGCAAGCGGCATTCAACTGACTCTACAATCCAACACTATGTTCTAGATTCAATAACATTCAGACTCAACTGATTCAACTGACACAGCCGATGATCACACTGCCACTCTTCCCCTCTGCATGGGCAGCACTGCGCTGCAGAACCGCTCCTTGAGACCGGCGAAGGTTTTGGAGCTGGGCTCACAGGCGATGTACTTCCGGACGCCACCCAAATACCTAACCATCCGGAAGAAGTACAGCGGCGGGGTGCTTTCGTGTCTGCCGAAGTGGTCACCTACCTTTGTGCTCATCAAAACCCTTGGGTGAAAACTTCACAGAAGGCCAACAAGATTCAACTAGATCCAACCAACGGAATGCAAGCGTTGGAATGAACACTGATGCATACCGCGTACAACTATAGATCCACTGAGCTCGCAGGATCCCAAGGCCCAAGAACAGATCCTGCGAGCACCGCACGGAGCCGATCTAAAAACCGATGCTCCGAGCCACGCGCCCAACAAGCGTCCGCCCCACCCGGCACAGGCATCGTAGACGATGCCCTGCGGGGCGAAGCGTTGGTAGATCGCCTGAAATGCGGAATCTATGCAAACGGCTGGTCAGACGGGTTGAAGGACTAAATATCTGCATGAGTATACACCTGAGTTCACCTCAGTACAAGTAGTTGTTGCAGTTATCTCGTTCTCTTTGACATCCGTGATCCATCGCTAGTGACTTAGTGAGTCTAGTGGGTATAGTCACACAAGAACACCGTACTTCTGTACACAATAGTCGGCGAACATGTTTCTCTCTCAAAAATGGCCCACTGTGATTCAACACGTTTCAGACCATCTGTCCTTCCAAGCTACATAGAGAACAATAAATCTACTAGCAGAAGATAGCAGAAGGCTCGAAAGTTGGCATGTTCCGTGCGCGTGCAAGTTGGCTTGTACGTTTCTCAGCCGCCACGTTTCAAGCATGTTCTCTGTCTAAGAAGGCCGTAGTGAGCGAACCAACACTCAATTTGCCGAGTCGCTGCAGCCACGGTAGGTGGAAAGTTGGCAATCCAGCTGCCACCGCCTCGGTCAAGACCGAGAAGAGCGGCTCAAAGAGATGACATACATTGGGTCAATGGGTTCCCCAAGTAAAGGTTGAAAGAACAATACCATACAATACCCATTATCCATCACCTATAGGATTTGTGTGGTACACATTGAGTCTCTCGGACCAAATTTAAGTGGATGATGTGGGTTGGGTGTTTATACTTTGTCTCATTCCCTGTAGGAGTGGATGATGATGGTGAGGTTCCAGGCCTTTCTCCGAAATAGTGACAATTAGCTTACCGACTGTTACAGGTAATGGGACCAACCAAATGACGCATCAAAGAACTGCTGCGACCTCCCAACACTTTTCTCAAAAAGATGTGGACGAAGAACACAAGGATTGTCGTGCCATGTGGAACATGTCAAAGCACCCCCCGCCCCCCAAACTCCCCCACAACACTGATCTTTTGCACCAAAGTCCTGCAAGAAAGTGAACGAAAAACCGACGTCGTCCCACACCACGCCACGGGTCGACGGTTGACATTGGACCATTGTCTCCCCGAGAAGGGCCCGAGAACATTCGGATCGACCTACTGCGATGGCCTCCAACCGAAAAGCGATGGCCTCCAACCTAGAAGCGTCCGTGCTCCTAGTAGCGATGCCCTTTGTTCCTAGTAGCGTTCTTGCTCCTAGTAGTAAGGCCAGGAGCCCCGTTCGTAGTGTCCTAGTCGCTCCTGCTTTTGGGTCATGGTCCCACCTTGGAAGACCATCGAGTCATCGTGGAATTTGCACTCCATCCGCAAGGTCTCTGGCTGGCAGGAGGGATCGCCCGCACGCTCCAGGCCTACAGATGCGTGTTCGAACAGTGGTGATGCTGGAAATTGGCAGGGTCCGAATCAGGTGATCTTAGAGAGTGACCATCTGCAAGTGATGTATACATGCTTCAGACGAAATGTCCAATGACGTTATGGGGACGTTCAATCTTTGCCTTGCTTTTCAAGTAGCCTCTAGCCACTCCTGTAGCCTTGTCTGCCGTTCTTTGCTGCATTGGAGACTTGCAACTCTCGTAGTCAAATACATCCAAATAACTATTTATAAATAGTCCTTGTTACTACTAGTAACAAGTGCCACGCTAGTAGTAACAGGTGCCTTACTAGTAGTAACAAAAAGCTATTAACAATATATTATTCCCGGATTTTATGCTACTCACTGTTCTTTCTCACACCGACGCGACAGGTCAGGTTCCATCATCTTATCCGGTCCATCTAGTTTATCCAGTCCATCCTCCCCGGTCCTCTCCGGTCCTTTCGTTTGCCAGGTGACACGTGCGGAGGCTCTTCATAAGTCCAGAGTTGCTCTCGAAGGTCTGCAGTGCACTGGGCTTCTGCTTCACCACACCCGTCCGGTCCCTCAGCGGCTGCCGCGCCGCATCCCCGCGCCGGTCCGGCATGGCTCTCATGGGTATGGGGTGTCCCCATCCAGCTTTGCCAAGGGTGAGTTACACATCCATAGCACTCAAGTCACTCAAAACATTCTAAACCCAGAGTACTCGGCATGACCATTCGTGAACAAACTCGCGCATCGAGCCACTCAAGAAATTGTCCTCAATGCAAATGGTTTTCATACCCATAATAGAGGCTGGAGTCATCCTTGGCATGGTGCCCGAACCATCGCGCACGTGCGCCTCCTGTTCCATCGTGCCCCGCACCATGAAAGCCAAAGTGGCCGAGCACCGGTCTTGGAGATGGAGAAACTGTGCGGGTGAAATGACCAGCAAAGCTCGTCCTTAGGCTAGCTGAGCCAAGACAAGCGGTCTTTCGGAAAGCGCTGTTTGGACTTCCTGGACTTCTTCCACCATCTTCTTTTGCGATGTGTTTGATCCGACGAACACAGACGAGCACATGGAAGTGGATGGCACTTCCTGATGTGTACCTGCAACCTCCTGCCTTGCACTTAAATCGCCCCTGGAGCTAAGAACAAGATTTTTGGACCCTTGTACTAGGATCAGCCCCTAAGCAAAAAATCAGCCCCTGGTACTTTTTGAAGAAACAGAAACCCTTCCCAACCACATCACCCATGGTGAGCACGCCTGCGTTGGCTTCAGCTTGAAGTAGAAGCAGTTGGAGAGCAAAGAAACATGTTATGGATTTATCAAGCGGTTTGTCTTGAACATATCAGTGTGTGTTATAATATATACCATGATTAATCTAGCTTGGGCGGCTTGGGAATGGCCCATGCCAGCTGGAAATCACAGCCACTGGGTTGCAAGCAGTGTCACTCTTTTCCTTCCACTCTTTCAGACATCCTGCCGTCGTTTCTGTACAAAACGCTTCAAAGTGAGTTTGGCTTTGACCTTGTAGGCATGGAGAGTAGCGGAAGCACTGTTCTTGTTACCAATCCTTCTGCTTTGCCGAGCGATTCTTCCTACAAAGTCTTCGCTCATGCTGCAATCCCATGCGCATGGATTCAAACACCAGTCTTCCAAAGCAGAGATCTCCAATTTGTGGTAAAGGTGAGCCATGCTATGAATCTTCGGGACTTGAGCAAAGAACGTAAGTCGCCTTTGCAGGCAAATCTGCGCCAGCCGAGCGTATGCAAACACAAAAAGTTTGCAGTTCTTCTCTAGTTTTTTCCGACAACTTCTTGTCAACCAAAGTCCATGGCGATGAATGCCTTGGAATTCAAGTCCTTGGACACAACCTCGGTGCACTTGACCAAGGTCAGCCGACTGAGGATGGCTCAGTAGAAGCAAGCCAGAGAACCACTTTAACCAGCGCAGCAGCAGAATGGAGTCACTGCCTTTGCATCCTACCCAAGGAAATGTACCTTGGGTGGGATAGTGAAATTTTTCCCTGGTAAAGCCTCTGATTCCTGATGTGTGCGCAGAATGTGTAAAGCACCACAAGGCAAACGAAGCCCACGCCCGCGCCATTCTACGGTCAACAGCTGTGGAGTCACCAGCTTCGTCAAAGAAGCCATCATGACATAGCAAAAGAACTGCTGAAGCGATAAAGTTCCGTGCTACTCCCAAGCGAAATACATGAAAAGGATCCAAAAGAAACCATCTTGCTGCCAAGCCAGATGACCAATCCTCGAAAGGAATGTGCTTGTAAGGGGGCGCTTCATCCCATGGAGCTGAATGGTAGATCGATCCCTTCCAAGAAGCCTGGGCTGAGAAATCCTCAAATGGGTGCAGAACTCCCCCAGCACTACAAAGATGGCGACAAGGGATTTGGTTCCTGTGGCCGACGTTCTTGTAAGACCTGTTCAGCAAACCAGTTTTGGCGTGATATTCCATATCTCCCATCATGCCTAAAAAGGCAAAATGATATCGATCACCATTTTCAGTTCTAATGCCATCCAGCAAAAGCGGCCCGAGGTTCTCAGAGATCGCTGCCAGCAAGCTAAACAAAAGGCCTGGGAGCTTGTCAAACTTTTTGCTTGGAAAAGCGCACAACAAGAAGTGCGTCAAATATGTTGAGTGTATATGGTTCAATTTTTGTGCCAAAGGATCTGCAATGTCACATCCTCCATACTTTGTGCAAGGTTCGCATTTGCAAACCACATGGCCTGTGTCCATACCTGTGTCCAATCCCAAGATCGGGTGCATCGATATCACTTCCAGCGGTTGTTTTTTTAAGGTTCTGCCACCATCTCCGTGGATTGCTAGAGGAATTGTGAACTTCAGATTCACCAAATTCCGATCTGCCAACTCAAAAACCTTGTGTGTAGGATGCTCTTTTCTGTAAAGCTTCCAAAATGAGTCCAGCAAACATTGGGCCTCAGCCCCTGGGTTCAGCCCACCAAGCAACGTCCAGGGGTACATTGCAAGCAAGTGTTGGAGGACATCGCTACCCTTCAGATACGGGAGGTCAGCAGCCAAACCGTTCTCTTCAAAGTGGTGGAAGGAGTTCGGAATATTCCTTGCTTTGAAACACCACAGAATTTCCAAAACATGTTTGTTCTTGTCAAAATTCCTATAAGATTGGCCAGGAAAAAATGAAGAAGAACCATGTTAAAGGCTTAGACAAGGAACAGTTCAAGATTGTATCTCTTTGTGGCCCCTTTGTATAGCCGTGCAGCATTTTTCAAAGTACGTCCACTACGCCACATCATTGATGCTGTGGACGGGTGAAGAGATAGACTTGGGTCACATCTCATTTCTGCCTGCAAGGCCTGTACATGCTCCTGGAGAGTGGAAGCCGTTGCCTGGGCTGCAGAAGGGACAGGGGTCCATGATGTTGATTCCTACGTTTTGTGCGATGGTCGAACGATCAACAAAAACACTTTGGAAGCCAAAGCGCTCCATCAGCTATTTTCTCAACTATGTGTTCCACTACGGGACCACACGATTCATCTTCTTTCTGACCTGGCCATGCGCCAGCAGGATCTCAGGAAAACATATATAATGTTATAAGCTAGTTTCCCTTCCAATCTATCCTCTAGAATCACGTGCCACTCAAACTTGCATTCACAAGACCTGCGCCACAAAAGAAGGATTGCACGCACAGATTTTTTGGGAGCAGATGCCTGGCAGAAGCCTGGCAGTGTTAAACACACAGCACTGTCACCCACTGGAATGGATGTTCATCACCCACTCGCGCAAGGGAGATGTCAACCTTGCTAGAACCCCTGGCAGAAACAGGAAATTCCCACCATGCACAGCTGCGTGTTACCCGAACACACTATATTCACTATTCTATGCAGAGCTTCCTTCACAACAAGAGAATTTAAACTATAGAGAGTATTGTGCGACCTGTGCCAAGAGAAGAAGTGTGTCTACAGTTTCACGCAGACCACAAAAATGAAAGAGCCACATGTGCATGCAGCTAAAACATTTAGGATTGCCGCTTGTGGCTACTTGCTCCTACTTTGCTCCTGCTTCACCGTCTTAGCCTTTGGCTTTGGTGTTTTTGGAGCCCTTTCCTGCTCTTCCTCCCTCATTGCCTTTCTCCACTTTGCTTTGAGGTGGTTGACAAAGGGCCTCATTAACAAAAACACATGTCTTGGGCACAAGTTTGTTTCTCCTTCAAGTGCCCAACTGCGCGCGCGTGACGAGGCTGAGAGCTTCCGCACACCTGAGATCAGCTGCAGAGCTGTGGCAGCAAAGGGGTGACATTGGCATTGGGTGACAGCAAGCCAAGGGTACAGGAACAGTGATCCGTTCTCTAAGATTTGACACAACTTCTGATATATTTGTCCAACCCCCATGAAGAACAGCGCCACTCTGACTGCATGAGCTAATCCAACATTCCTTTGTTTGTGTGTTTTCCCTCCAATATGTTATACTATACACATACTGGACCCTGATGGTTCTACAGTTCAAGACTCATTCTTCCCTGGAATTGGGTGCATTGCAGCGACCAACGAGTTGGTGAAACTTGGATATCAAAAACAGTTTCCAGCATATGATGAGAGCGAAGTAGATGTTATATAAGTCTCTGAAGGCTGCAACGTATCATTCAATGTTTCCATGGACGCATGCTTTCTTTGGGCATCAACAAACAATACCACGTCGCTATAAGCCCATTCCATGGCAGTGGAACATATATCCCCATCACAAAGATATGACACTTCAGTGCTGTACCACCTTCACGTTATATTTCTGAGTCAGTCGGAATCATTTATCATTTTCACCAATCAAAACTATGCCACCAAGCCATGTTTTTTACCTACTCCAAGAACATCCCTGGGGTTGGCAACCTGTTTGGACTCAAGCTTCGTTTCAGGACAAAAGTGGTGCTAGTCATGTTTGCCATTTCATGCTGGGCACATGTTCCACCATCGTGGCAGAGGCAAAGCGTGTTGAGGGGGATTGATCACTTTAAAATGTTGATGATAGTTCATTGTATTATAAATAGACACAGCGAACACACTATATCAAGTGAGGTTCTTTGGCTTTGGTTCCTCTTGGGGTTATCACTTGCACGCCTTTTACGGACAGTCATAGGTTAAGAGATCCAACGTTGTCCATCACACACATGAAACCATTGAGGAGTTTTACAACTTAAGACATGTTGTTCTTCTATGACATCTACCTCATGCCCTTAGCTGATTTGGGGGCGCCATGAGAAACCAGTCAGCAAACAAAACAAAGCTTCAACCCACCCATTTACAACACCCACACTGGATGCCAAGGCACTCCTTGCGGGCCCTTACAAACTCCTTGGCAAGCTGGTCTTGATGCCTCAACACGGGCAGCAGGCACAAGCGATGATATGCTCAGAATGGTTTTCTTTAAAGCGTACACAGTACCAAAGACCGTCAGCGCATGCATTCTTGCATGTTATGTACTTGGTTGAGGCACGTTCTTTTGTAGCCATCAACGATGCCCTGTGTGTTGAGCTTTGTGATATCGTCCGTGATCGTTTGGAAGTTCTTGTCAATCTCCGAGGCACGTTGATACAACCTCAGCCCAAAGTAAAAACCCCTTCAAGTCCAGTTGGCACCGAAAACCTGAAGAATCCGCACTGCTTTCTCTAAGTTACATTGTCATATTTTCTGGAACGGATTCCATGGCAGCAAAGATCTCCACCAAATCTTGAAGCTTAACACTCCACTTGGACAAACATGCCAATACCCGAGGGATATAACTTGAAGCCAACGCATCCTCATCGTCCATAACTGGAAAGTTCAGCGCTTTGAGGGAATTTTTCTGGCATTCCATTCCATCAGCTTCGATGACGATGGTCGCGTCTGGCCAAAGTGGCAAGCACATGTGTATTAAATAGAAACTCACGCTTAGCATGTTGTACTCATGCCCCCCAAAAGTACCTGTAGTATCT